AAGAATGAAGGACAAAATTGTTGGTCTTCTAATACCAATCAAAGACGCCCAAAATCCCTAACTAGGCGACATCAGCCAAAGAACGCCCAGTAATTACGATCGGGCACCAACGCGGGTCTGCTACGATATTAAGGCAGCGGCACCGCTCATGAATCGCCCTAAAGGTAACCCAGAGACAATATCTTAGCACCATCCAACGCATCCTACCAAGCTGGGGGGGCTCCTGTTCCGGATGGCCCAAGCACTAGTACAACCCAGCTGGCCAGGCCCAATCCTCAGCCCCAACCCACGTCAGCCCTAAGGGCTGACGTGGACTCTCGCGCCCTCCTACCTTGCAGCACGTCCAAGGGATACACCGAAATATCCCATCTCGGGACGCTAACCACCAAAGGCAGCAGCCACAGGCACCATAAAGGGAAACTACCCTCTGCCCAGTGCTGACATCGCCAGACGCAGAAGGCGCAACGCTGCCCAAATGGCAGCTCCAAACACGCCCAACACTGCTATCATGGGAGTACATCCCAAGCAGGGTTGACCCCTCCTCACCAACCCACACCATTTTCCCTATAAATAGCCCCCATGGGCACAGCTTAAAGGATTTTATGTATCGTTATATTGCCCATTTACTTTGAGTCCTATTGTTTACTGCACTTACTTATTGTCTTGCCATTGCTTGGCATAATACCTCTTAGCCTGGTCTGTACCTAAGCTAAGGGTATCTCTCATACAGTGACTCATCCTTAAAGGGAACATAGTGGTCTTATAGATCCCAACGGTACAGTTATAAATTGTAAGTCTGGCTTGATTCAAATATATGAATATTTTAAAGCATAATTTATCGGAAACTATACGGTCATTAGATTTTATTTTCATTAACGCTGAAAAAATTCATAACATGCAATAAATCAGGTCGATATGGGCCTTATGGTAAAAGTAACAAGACACGTCATGGATTATGGTATCTCGCTAATACCGTTTGACAAACCAATTCTCTCAAATGCTGTTTTTTTTTTTTTTGGTATCCTAACTCTCTCAAATAATTTAGTTATTAGGTGAAAATATGTTAGAGAATTTACAAAAAAAAAAAAAAAAATATGTTAGAGAAAATGTTATATTTTATATTAGGGAAAAGTTATGACTTTTGACCCTTCTGCCCTTTATTAATTAACTAATAACTATTTTGCCCCTTACTCAGAACTATCTACCAATCTGCCCCTCTTTAATTGATTAAATTGAAAACTTAATCGATTAAATAGTCAAAACTGAAAAAAAAATGGTCGACTTGTCAATTTAATCGATTAAATCTTCAATTTAATCGATTAAATCTTTAATTTAATCGATTAACAATTTAATCGATTAAATCTTTAATTTAATCGATTAAATCTCCCTCTTAATTTATTTAATCGATTAAAACTTATATTTAATCGATTAAATATCTCAAATGAGCGTGAAAATATTGATACTAACTCGTAAAATGGTAACTCTTAATAAAACGCAATCAGCTCTTATTAAATACAAAACACAATCAACTCCTATTATTAAATACAAAACACAATCACCTCATATTATTAAATACAAAACACAATTAGCTCCAATTAAATACAAAACGCAATCAGCTCTTATCAAATCGCAATCAGCTCCTATTAATTACAAATCGCAATCAACTCCTATTACATTAAATTCAAAATTCAAAATTTAAATAACAGCCAATACACAGATCCTATTACATTAAATTCAAGATTCAAATCACAACAACCAATAAAGGTCAAATCTCCTCCATAAACAAAAGGAGTTGATTACGAATCTTGAATTAATGTAATACTTAGCAGAATCTTCAATCAGTTTTTCGTGCATTGGATGTTATTTGAATTTTGAATTTTGAATTTAATGTAATAGGAGTTGATTGCGATTTGTAATTAATAGGAGTTGATTGCGATTTGATAGGAGCTTATTGCGTTTTGTATTTAATTGGAGCTGATTGTGTTTTGTATTTAATAATAGGAGGTGATTGTGTTTTTGTATTTAATAATAGGAGTTGATTGTGTTTTTGTATTTAATAATAGCTGATTACGTTTTATCAAGAGTTGTCATTTTACGAGTTGATATCAATGTTTTCACGCTCATTTGAGATATTTAATCGATTAAATATAAGTTTTAATCGATTAAATAAATTAAGAGGGAGATTTAATCGATTAAATTGAAGATTTAATCGATTAAATTGAAGATTTAATCGATTAAATCTTCAAGTCAACCATTTTTTTCCAGTTTTGACCATTTAATCAATTAAAAAGGGGCAGATTGGTAGATAGTTCTGAGTAAGGGGAAAAATGATTATTAATTAATCAATAAGAGACAAAAGGGTCAAATAGACGAAAAGTTATAGTTACTACTTTTTTCTTACTACTTGTTACTTTTCAAATCTTAACCATTGATTTCCGTCAATCTAACAGTTATAATTTATTGGGTCGCACTTATTAATTAATTATTAATTCTAATAAATTATAGCCGTTAGATTGGCGAAAATCAACGGTTAAGATTTGGTAGTAATAAATAGTAAGAAAAGAAAGTAGTAACTATAACCTCTCCCTTTATATTATATCTCTAAGAATTAGATAAAATGTTAGACCGACCAAGTCTAACTCAACTCGAAATGCTAATGCAAGATAAGAGGATTAGGGATGGCAAATCGGATCAACCTGACGCGACCCGATCCAATTTATTTACAACTCGAGAAAATAAATTGAGTTAGGGTTGGATCGAAAAAAAATAAGCCAAAAAATCCAACCCGATTCGGGTTAGGATTGGCTTACGGGTTGACTCGAAAAAAATTGGGAAAAAAATAGCCTAAATAAATGAAAAAGCATGATAATTAAAGTAAGATAAAAAAAAATGTTAAATCTTAAAAAAATGAATATGATATAAGATAATTAAAATTGCTACACATAAACTTACATAAAAAAAAGTTTCTACTTTCTTTGAACAAATCTGACTCCCTTATTATTCTTTTATATATTTTTAATAAATAAATAAAAGATAACCAGCGAGTTGACCCGTTTGATATGTTGGTTGGCTCGATTTTTTTTCAAGTTGGCTCCGGTTATCAGCTTATTTTTGCCAACTCAACAGGCTCATTTTTATGCGAGTTACGAGTCAACCAAACGGGTTGGCTCATTTTTGCCATGGAAAAATATACTCTTATGTTGTATGAGAGAATTTTTTTCTCCTACACATACATCGATTTTCATGTTACTTTTTTTATCATTTTTTTATTTTTCTATAGTGGTTGGGTCTCTCACATGAATATCTCTATTGCATGAGAGATATCTCTCCTTTCTATTGCATGAGAGAAATCTCTCCTTTCTATTGCATGAGATTAATAAAGCTCTTTTGCCATTCCTATGCTCAATCCTTATCAAGGGTACTTACCAATATATTTAGCGGATATGACATCTCATAATACCCGCTCTCATACTCAGGATAATTTATTTGGAGTATTATCTCTTAACATCTCCCCGCATGGCTTGGAGAAGTTATTTGGAACATAAAGGGTGTGCCCCACAATAATATGTTAGATTTTTGTCTGTTATCTCATGGTTTCCAAAAAAACAAAAAAAAAAAGTTGTTTCTTTTTTTATTTCCCATAATAAAAATTAGGAAAAAAAGTTTCCGATATTACTTTAGATAACTTTATCTAATATTCATCGAAACGACGTCGTTTTGGGGTTGAAAAATTAAAAAATTAGAGTGATAAAACCTATTATAACCCTGAAATAAATTAAAATTACAAAAATACCATGATTTCCGTCCCAAAATGACGTTGTTTTGATGAACATTAGATAAAGTTATCTAAAGTAACATAAAAAAAAACAAACCCTAAAAATTAAACCAATTCATTTTCGGAAACAAAAAGATAAATTGAATTTTGTCAAACATTGGTTCTAACTATTTCTATTCCCCGGAATAAAAATTTAAAAAATAAAATTAATTATGAAAAGATTGTCATGCAAACTCGAAGTTTGCAAGAGACTTGAACCTCTGCAGGTGGCTCAGGACAAGATATATGATAAGCTCTAATACCATATAGCAAATCAACTCTATTACAAATTCAAATTGTTAGATAAAGATACATAAATAATTTTATATTATATTTCTCACATGACCTTCGCAGGAGAACTGTTTGGAATTGAAACATAGATAATGCATATCGCTCACCAACTTGTAATGAAATCAATTTTTTTAAATTAAAAAAAATGAAGATAGGAAAAATGAAACTCTAGACCACTTGTAATAGAGGGTCTAATACCAAGTCATCTCAAAAGTTTGAGTTGTTATGTGCTCTCTAAAGCACGTGAGTTATTTTTTTATATCTCTTAAAATTTTAATTATTTTTAATAAATATAAAACATGCATGAAAAAATAAATATTCATAAATGTGTCCCCATGAATCTCGGGTAATTATAATTGAACATTTTAAATAATTTTTTTTAATTAAACTGATAATTATTCAGATTGATCCACCTTGAAAGCAAGAAAAATATTAACATACTTTTTTGAGAAATTCAATTTTTCCCAAAATTATTTAAAACAAAATTGGCAGAAAGAAATTGAGACTCTTTGGTATTTTCTTTTAAAACAAATATCATACTGCCTTTTTGAGATTACAGAATTTATTCCAATGTTATATACAAGTAATTAAAAAAGTTATAGACTGCTTACCAAAAAAAAAAAAGTTATAGACTTAGAAAAGTTACAAACTAATACAAATTATATAGACTTATACAGGTTACAGAAATTGAAATAAAACATACAATAGTTACAGATTTTTACTACTCCTGTAACTTTTATTACTCAATCTCTAACTTTTATTTGATGGTTCAAAATTTAAAGAAAATAAAGATAAAGAAAGATTACGCCGCGAAGATTTTCTTTCTTTCTTTCTTTTTATCAAAGTAGAAATTATGTAAGGTACAATAAAAATGGTATATAAATAACATTATTAATCACAGTTTGAGACTATCAATGAAAGATTCATCAAGCTTTCTATTGAAGAAGCTGCTGAAGTACTCTGCATGTGTCAACTTCTTATACAGAGGTAAGTTTCCTTTACCAATTAGATCGTCAGCAGGTCCAACGTCTATAGAAGGGCTTGGATAGCAGAATGTCACTATTGATAACCTTTCCTTCAGCTTATTTACTACAGCTCTGTGCTCTGGGGCCTTGTATATCCCATTGCTCATTACCTGCGAAATAGAAAAACAAGCAACATCAATCTCAGGCTTTTGATTTCATAGAATTTTTGCTTTCGAGTAAACATCATTTTCCAAATAACAGATGCAATGGCAATTCTGGTTCAAATATAATGCCATAAAATGATTTTTATCCAAAAGAGGACAAGTTAGAGAAGTGGTAAAGGTATTCCAGTGTGACTCAGAAGTTAGGAGGTCTTAATCTTAGAAACAATCTCTTTACAAATATGCAACGGTATGGCCAATACAAAAATTGCCTTCACCCCAACATTTGCTAGTTTGGGTTTAATTGAAATCACTATATAAGGTTAATTTTGCAGTCGAATGAGTTAGGAGTAAGGGTGTGCATAGGTCGAATTGAATTGAATTTTTTGAAAAATCGAACTGAATTGGTTTAAAGGTTCGGTTCAGTTCAAAATTGGTTTGGTTTGGTTAGGTTCAAAAATGATTCGAGACGGTTGGAAACCGTTCGGTTTGGTTCAAAATCAGTTCGGGTCGACTATATTCTGAAAAAAGAAAAAGAAAAAATTAAAGAAATAAAATAATAAAAATCAGTTCGGTTCGGTTCAAAAACGATTTCGTTGGATTTAAAAAAAGGTTCGGTTCTTGAATTGGATTTAAAAAGCTCGGTTCTGGTTTTTAAAAATCGATTATTTAAATTTCAATTTTTTGATTATTTTGGTAAGGAGTAACAAACCTCAATTATATGGCCCATGTTTGCAACAATAGCCCCCTCTATAGGTTCAACAGGGACCCATTTTCCATCTTTGAAGAACTGCAACCCTGGAAAATCACCACAGTCAAGCAAGAGAGAGATCCCAGAATTGTCAGCATGGGGCACAATCCCAAGAACTCTTTCGGGCTCAGGACAGGGTGGATAGCAATTCATCCTTATGTCATATAGTCCTTCTTGGAAACTCTCCGATATCTTTGTATCAGGAAGCCCCAAAGCCATAGTAATGAACTTCACAATTGAAATTGTTGTCCCCCTCATATCTTCAGAATATCTCTCTAATGTTTCCCTGATAACCATTTGCAACAGGACACCCTTACAAACATAAGAAAAGGCTGTGATAGAAATTTTGCAATGGAATCTCTTGCATAAAACAAAGATGATAGCTTGTTATGAGAGAAATAATTAGAGAAAGAAAACAGGTAAAATATTAACTAGAACAGAATATATACAATGGGTGCATATATACAAAGCATTACATCAATGTGGAGCTTGGGATATCAGTTTCATTTATAGAATAATTTTCATGAAAAATATATTTTTTCTTGAAGTAATAGACTTTCTGAACAGATCATGTAATAAACTGATAAAACTTCTTAAGGCAATGCTTCATTTGATTTATCCAAATTCTAACACCCATTGGGAATGGCATCATTATGCTATTCAGTTCAGCTATCTGGCAGTATTCATATACCTGAACTCTGGAGGGTTTTGGGGCCACAAATCCAATTTTCTGTTCTGAATGGGTAGTAGAGATTTGAGGAAGATCATGTCATTCCAATCTAGTGTTTGGTGCTCGGAAGTTACAAATGCTTGGCCATAGCCTTCGAGACTTCCTGGTTTCTGTGCCCATAGTTTTTTCTCTTGAAAAGGGAGCTCAAAAAATCTTTGAACTTGATTCCTCATATTCGTAAGGGATGCATTTGAAACTCCATGATTTACAATCTGCGGGAGAAAAAAAAAATGGAAGGAAAAAAATGTTGATGGTATTTTCCCTATATCTGACTGTTATGGACCAGAATGAGGCCCATGGTCAGTAAGGCCCATGATCAGCACATGCCCACAGGTAAGCATTATAAATAGGAGCTAAACGCCACAGGTATAACCTAATCTCTTTTTACCTAGTTACGTAGCCTAGATAGTACACACACATCTTTTCCAGGGCTAAGGCCATCAGATAGTGTGTGATCTGCTGTCCTCAAGATACCTAACTCGTAGGTATCCAGAGAAGACACCTGAATCACAGATCAATCATCCAATCCTAATTGGACACATCTGCCTAGGGCAGAACATTGGCGCCGTCTGTGGGGAACTTTTCCACGACTAACGTTGTGAAAGTCAACAAAATCGATGGTGAGAACAACAAGGAGTGGCCTTCGTCAACCCTCCACATCAAACCTCCAAGTTCCTCCTTCTGTTAGGGAAGATCCTGCGAAATCAAGGCAGCAGATGCCGCAGATCCCAGATCTAGATGCGGTGCACGTTAGTGACGTGCATTCAGATTCAGCATCAACTCCCGCGGTCAACCCAGATGCCCCGTACCTCCCAGGGTTACAGCCAATTGAAGACCCAACTGCGGAAGCCCCGGATCCACGAGTGACGAGTTTAGCTATGGCAGTCGTACTTCGAAGGATGGAGGAATTGGAACAGCGTAATGAGCTGCAACGGCAAGCGGATGCAAGACAGATCCGAGATTTGGAGGATCGGATGTGGCGCGCAACAAATCCAGACCCTGAGCGGGCCATCGCGCAGGTGGTGACAGATCTGCAAATTGCGAACCCCCAGCAGGACACTCAGGAATGCACCCACCGTCCTGCAAGGGCTAATGTCACACCCGGGTTCGTCCCACAAACCCTAGTGCACCCGGGTTCACGCCAACAGCCACGGCACCCTCCGGGCCATGGAAACGCTGGAAACAATCAGCAACCCCGGCAGGTACCAGACCCACAGTGCCCTGCCGAGATCCACCGTCAGGGGCCCATCACCCGGGCTCCAGATGACGTAACCGGGGTATACCGAAGAAAATACAACAGGGGGCAGTACAATGACAGTCCCTTCGCGGATGAGATTGTAGAAGCTCCATACCCGGAAAATCTGAATTTATCTGAGTTGATCAAATACGGCGGAACACAGGATCCGCAGGTACACTTGGATGCCTTTGATACAACTATGTACATCAAAGGGATAGAGGAACCCTTGATCACAAGGCTTTTGCAACTACATTAACCGGGGCAGCCCAGGCGTGGTTCTCGTCATTACCAGCGGGATCCATCAAATCCTTTGAGGAGTTTGGCTGGCGGTTCTTGCTGAACTTCGCCACCAGTAAGAAGCAGCCAAAGTCGGAATTCGCGTTGGGGAAAATTAAGCAACAACCAGGGGAGACGCTACAGAAGTACCTAGATCGGTTCAAGTTGGCCGCGCTCCAGGTACCCGGATTGCCAGAAAATGTTCACTTACATCTGGTGATAGCCGGGTTGCACGGAACATCCCGGTTAGCTAAGTCAGTATATAAGGATCCACCTCGGACCTTAGTGGAGTTTAACACGCGCTCCAAAAAATACCTGGAGCTCGAGCAGATGGAGTGGGAAAATGTGGACCAAAGGCAACAACCTGGTCAGGGAGACAAGCTCGGGGGCCGACGGATGAATGACCTTCGAGGAAAACGGCAGGATGATAGGCAACAAGCCAAGGGAAGGTTTGATAAATATGCCCCCTTGAACTCTTCTCGGTCGCAAATATGGCGCGAAGTCGCGTCCACCGACATGAAGAGAGTCGAGCGACCTCAGCCTCTACAGAACCAGGCTGGTTTAGATCGGACCCGGTACTGCGCATTTCACGATGGGCCGGGCCATACAACAGATGAATGTTGGGACCTTAGAGATGCAATTGAGAAGTACATTAGAGAGGGGAAGTTGCGGCAGTATTTGATCCGTACGCAGGGATGGAGAAATAGGAAGATGAGAGGCGGAAGGCTCGGAAGCCCACCCAAGGATAAGAAGTTTAGAGAGGAAGGACGAGGTAAGAAGCCAGCTAAAGAAGATGACGAATTCCAAGAGCCGGAGTTCGAATGCAACGTGATCAGTAGAGCTTTTGGGGGTGGTGGTGACACAATGAATGCCCGACGTAAATATTTGCGTGAGGTGTTTTCCATTCGAGAGCGCCCCAAGTTTAAACAGGAAGAGGAACCAGAGCAGCCGCTGTTATACTTTACAAAGAAGGAGCTCGAGGATGTAGTGCCAGGACATGTTGATGGGTTGGTGATTACAGGGACACTGGTTAATTGCAGAGTTAGGAAGATTTTTCTGGACAATGGGAGTTGCGCCGACATAATTTTATGGCATGCATTTAAGAAGATGAATTTGGATGAAGAAGATTTGAAGGCTTGCAACACGGCTTTAATTGCGTTTAATGGCCTCAACACTACTCCTAAGGGGTATATTGATCTCCGATTAACATTGGGGACTAAAGAGGCATACAAATCCGAAAGGGTGAGGTTCATTGTAGCCGACTTCCCATCCGAATACAATGTGATTTTGGGAAGACCTACAATTCATGCTTGGGACATGCTAGTCTCAACCAAGCATCAAAAGTTAAAAATGATTGGTAAGCAGGGTACGGTGCTTACCATAGCTGGGGACCAGAAGGAGTCTCGAGATTGTTACTTCAGATCTGTACGTGTGGTGGACCGAGATCCCGAAGGCGTAGCTATGATTAAGCAGAGTGGTTACCAATCTTTGAAGCGGAGCTCGGTTAATATGGTGGAATTGGATATGCGGGATGAAACTCAGATGCCGAGGCCGGAACCTGACGGAGAGCTAGAGGAGGTAACCGTGGGAGCGCCAGGACAAACAACAAAGATAGGAAAGGGGTTAATGAATGAGGAAGAAGCCCAGCTGGCCTCTTGTTTGAGGAGTTATAATGACGTCTTTGCTTGGAAATCTTCAGATATTCCAGGGATGGATCCAGAATTTTGCTGTCACAGGTTAGCTGTTTATCCCGGCTCAAAGCCAGTAGCACAGAAGAAGAGGAAATTAAGCTCAGAGCGTCGGCAGGTGCTAGAGGATCACGTGAAAGAACTACTAGAGGCCGGATTTATCAGGGTGATGAGTTGGGCGGTGGAATTATCGGAATTTGACATAACTTTCGAGAGCCGTAAAGCGATCAAGTCTCAGGCGTTGGCCGACTTCGTTCGCGAGCTCACTTCAATCCAAACGACGGATCCTGCTGGCCTGGATACATGGAATGTGTATGTTGATGGGTCTTCTAATGCAAAGGGAAGCGGAGCCGGGGTAATTATTGAAAACCCTGACGGCGTTGCAATTGAGTACTCTATGCAAATGGACTTCGAAACTTCCTACAACCAGGCTGAGTATGAGGCCCTCATAGCCGGACTGTTGCAGGCACAAGAGCTCGGAGCTCGAAAAGTAAAGGTTTACAGTGATTCTCAGTTGGTCACCTCACAAATTGAAGGAAGTTACCAGGTCAAAGGACCCCTACTGGCCAAGTATCTTGAGCATGCAAGACGAATAATGGAAGATTTCGAAAAGGCAGAGGTTAGTCACATTCCAAGAAGTGAGAACAGCAGCAGAGCGGATATATTGTCCAAGCTGGCGAGCACAAAGGGATGGGGAAACCACCAGACCGTGATTGAGCAAAGTATCCTAGAACCGACATGCATCATGCAGATTTCCCAGGTGAATGATTGGCGTACTCCCATTATTGAGTACGTCGAAAATGGAACGTTGCCTGTCGAGAGAGCAGAGGCCAAGAAGCTAATCCGAGATGCAGCGTCATACACCATAATAGAGGGACAACTTTATAAGAAAGGTATTTTCACCCCTCTGTTAAAATGTCTGAACTCGGATAGGGCCCAATATGTTCTGGCGGAAATCCATGAGGGAATTAATGGGCAACATGTTGGGGGAAAGGCGTTAGCCCGGAAGGCTCTTCGAGCTGGATACTTTTGGCCATCCATGGTCTACGATGCGAAGGACCACGTACAGAAGTGCGATCAGTGTCAGAAGCACGGCAGGAACTTGTTGGCTCCCCCTGAGGAGTTGAGTATAATCACGGCTCCCTGGCTGTTTTACAAATGGGGAATGGACCTCTTGGGTCCATTCGCAGCAGCTGAAGGCCAGCTTAAATGGTTAGTGGTGGCAGTTGATTATTTCACTAAGTGGATTGAAGCGGAACCAGTCGCGACCATCACTTCGGCCCGGATTCAACGATTTCTGGAGAGGAACATAATATGCCGGTTTGGGATTCCGGCCGAAGTGGTAACCGATAACAGGACTCAATTTGCAAGTAAAGGGTTTCAGAACCTGATGGAGAATTTCCACATCCGGCATCGCTTTGCCTCGGTTGAACACCCTCAAACAAATGGCCAAGCAGAGGCTGCAAACAAAGTCATCGTGGAAGGTCTTCGAAGGCGTATAGAGCAATCCGCCAAAGGAAGGTGGGTTGAGGAGTTATATTATGTCTTGTGGGGGTACAGAACCACAGTTCAGACTTCTGTTGGGGAATCCCCATTCAGGCTAACCTACGGGTGCGAGGCTATGATCCCGGTAGAATTGGGAGAACCATCTTGGAGAAGGGTTCAAGCCTTATCGCAAGCAGAAGAGGTGAACAGCAGCAAAATAGCCGTAGAACTGGATCTGATAGATGAAGGTCGGGTCATGGCGCACTGCAGAAATGTTAGCGCCAAGAAGCTCGTGGCTAGTAGGTTCAATAAGAAGGTGAAGCCCAGGATGTTTGAGACAAAGGACTTGGTGCTCTGAAGAGCAGATGTCGGAGGACGAAACACAGCTGATGGGAAGTTGGCTCCAAGATGGGAAGGCCCGTTCAAAATAAAAGAAAAGCTTTCAAGAGGAGCCTACGTTTTGGAAACCCTGCAGGGGAAACACCTGGCAAGAACATGGAACGCGGATAAGCTGAAAAAGTATTAC